TTGATTGAGTGTACAGCTTTTGGAAGAAAATATCAAGCAAGTTTTACATTGTTACTTATTATCATAACATGGTAATGTTATAAACATAATGTTTTTAATTTTTTGTACATAGAAGCACAGTTTCAGAATAATACTATGTTCTCAAAAGTTCTAGGTCATGTATTATTTGTGGTAGCTGAAAGCATTTTCAGCAGGGACTCCTCTGACCAAGAATTCTTTAACTGGTATAATATGGCCTGTTCCCTATGGAAATGACTTGCTGGTCATTTATGATGAAAAAGTGAACATAAAATCTGCATAAATAAATAAACATGTTGATTTTTTTTTCTTTTTTTACATTTTCATTTAAAGCACTCTGAAGCAATTTGTAAATGAGATTTGCAGTTTGAAGTATCATTAATGTAAATCAGTGCAGTTAACATTTTGATGATTTTGTTGATTTACAAGATGACTTTGAACTCCCTTTCTTTGCAGTATCCATGCATAAATATTTGCCATTTTGGTTGGTTAAAGCAAGTTCAAGTTGAACACTGTAAGTGATATGTAATTCTTTTGTTGCAGTTGGACAGTATAAATGTAGAAACATTTACTTCATAAGACTGTACCTCCATGTATATGTAGAAAAATTTTTCATAACAGTAATTTATATTTTTACTGCTATGACTGCTTTGAAACTCACTTTTTTGACAAAATAGGAAGCTAAGCTTTGAGACACTATTGCATCTGAATGCCTTGTTGACATGTATTTGTCATGATGGCGACTGTACATCTCTCACCCAGGTAGGGAAAAGCAAGTATCTCTACCAAGTACATCAAGGGCTGTCTCAGTATAGCAGTAGAAAATCTGTCTTATTAGAGGCCTATAACGTTTTCTTGGTCACTGAAACCCCAGCTTACAATGCTAAATGTAAGATATTTATAAACTCGTATAGTAAAGCTGAACCATTGTATTTTCAAGGATTTTTACAAACACTACACAAACTGCCAAAGACCAGAGAAGAATGAAGTTCCAGAGAAGAGATCTTTTGGCAGTGATCTCCAGATCTTCAAGGAAATCTGGCCAATTGGGGTGTCGGTGTGTGGTGTCTTCGCTGTGACTTTGGCTGCTTTCCCAGCACTTTGTGTTACAATCCAGTCTACCTCAGAGAATGAAAAATGGGCAGGTGAGGCTAGAACGCACTGAATTACTCTACTATCAAAAGTGGATATTGGTATACTTGACTGAATTAGAAATTTGTTGTAAAGAAAAAAAAAAAAGCTTTTATGAAAAAAGCATGAATCACGTGTTGCCTCAGGATTATTGTTTATTCAAGGAAGCCTTTTAGTTGCAAAATAAAGGATGCATTTCTGTAAGATTTGGAAATCAGATTCACATTATGATTTGAATATCCAGGATGTTAATTTCTTTTTTTTTCACAGATGTATATTTCCAACCTGTTGTTACATTCCTGCTTTTCAATGTTGGTGATTATTTGGGGCGCCAGGGTGCTGGTATGATTATGTGGGTGAGTTCCAGTTGATTTTACCTGTATGATTGCTATGCAAGTGCATGCAGAATTTTAAAAGATATATTGAAATATGACTAATCATTGATTTACAAAATATTTTGATATTTTTTATGATTACTGTTATTGTTGTCATTATTATTATTATTATTATTATTATTATTATTATTATTATTATTATTATTGTTATTGTTGTTATAATTATTATCCTTATTATTATTATAATTTTTATCATTATTATTATTACTCATTATTATTGTTATAATTGTCATTATAATTATTATAATTATCATATTATTAAGGTGATAATGATGAAGAAAATGATAATGACTATGATTTCTGCTGTAGTTTTTTGTGAAATTTAGAGCTCCACAAGTAATCGTCCACCAAGGAGTCTTACTACCTTTATTGACATTATGCTCATTGATATCAAAATACTAATAAGAAAAGAAAAGAGATGATAATGAAGAATCTCACTGAAAATCAAAAAAAGGGCTGAGCAGATGAGGTGGGTAGGACTAATAACTGGCTCCATGGTTTATAAGCACTTCTGGAGTCATCTCTATATAAACACAGATAATAAACTGAAATTACCATAGACATGGCAAATTCCTTTTGCCATCTAGGGCAGTTGCATTGATATTGATTTTTAAAAAGCGAGTCTGGTAGATTACCAAAGTAATCATATAACAAGCTTATTAGATTGTGCCTGACCAAATGCTCATTATTATTAATGATTTTCATACATACTCCTTTCAATGACAATTACATATACGTTTCTACGTACAAGAATATGCCCTGGTCTTGAAGGCTCAGTGGCTAGCTTTTCATTGCATGTCCAGAGGATATGTACAGCTACACAGAAAGCTATTGTAAGGAGGGGTGTCGAAGTATGATGTTATGTAAGGGTTGGTATTTTGGGTTTCAAATGTCTCCTTTTAATTCATGTCTCAAATAGTTGTTCCTGAATTTATGTGGATTCACTGTTAGATGATGATTTTGTTCCCCTAAGGGATAGAATATGCTTTGCAATGTTCAGATAAGCCACACATACCCATAAGTAGTTGGAAAATCAGGAATGCTAACAGTTTCACAGTGCAAAGAACTATATTTCAAAAAGGATCATTGCTTGTCTCAGAATGTTTTGCATGATTTTCTAACCTTATTTTTCTGCGTAGCTGTACATATTACATTATTATTGTTGTTCTTATTTTTATTATTAATGTTATTATCATTATTATCATCATAATGATTATTATTTTTTTAACCTTATTATTACCATTGCTATTACATATTAATGTAATTTTGTTCTAATTATTGCCATTGTTATCATAATGATTATCAGATTATTATTATTATTGTGATTATCATCATTATTCTTATTTGTATTTTTATCATTAGTAGGAGGAGTAATGATGATTATTCTTGTTGCTTTTGCAATGACCGTTGTTTTTACGGCTTTAGGCCTACACTCCGTATATGTCATTTTATTACTATTTAGTCTTCGCATCTGTATTTATTATCTCCATTCAAATGGTTGTGTTATCTTTATCCATAGCCACGACAAGGGTCGAAGATTCTGTACCTCATGACGTTCCTACGGCTGATCTTCATTCCCTTGTTCCTGTTTTGCAACAAGCCTGATTCCAGCATACCAAGTGTTTTCGCTCATGATTCCTGGTACATCCTATTCATGCTGCTCTTCTCACTGTCCAATGGATACTGCTCATCTCTCTGCATGACATATGGGCCCAAGTAAGTGATTCTCGGGTTCGAACTGTTGGTCATGGTCTGTGCTGTTAGGTATTATTATCAATATTTTTCTTTCTCAATTATTGTTGTTATCACACACTTGTACACACACAAGACATGCACACCACAGGCATACCACGTGCATACTACACACATACTGCGCACACACACTGTATGTACACAACATGCTTATTTCATGCAGGATACACACAGACACACAACACAGACACACACACAGACACACGCACACAGACACGCACACGCACACGCACACACACACACACACACATATACACACACAACACCATACAACACACACACACACACACACACACACACACACACACACACACACACACACACACACACACACACACACACACACACACACACACACACACACACACACACACACACACACACACACACACACACACACATAATTCATAATATTTCTGTATTTCTGAGCCCTTGTGTCTCTTCCTCAGGATGGTCTCGGAAGAGAATGCAGAGAAGGCCAGCAGCATGATGGCTGCCATGCTCGGCCTGGGTCTCTTGACAGGTGGCTTGCTGTCCTTTGCTTTTAGACTCATCGGATAAAGGGGCAAGCAATCCTTGCTCTGGCTTGAGGAATGAACAAGTAAATTAGATACATTTTTTTGACAATTCCTTCCTGCAGTATGGGTGAAGGAAGAAGTGTTCAGTAAGTTCCCCTTGAATTGATGTGTTCATCAAGTTCCCCTGGAATGATGTGAAGGTTCTTGATTGTTAAGGAAAGAACCCTAGTCTTTTAGAAGTAAATTGGTCATACCATGTATTCAACTTTGAATATGGGACTTGAAGTAAAAGTTTGATGGCATTTGTAACAGTGAACGTAAATGTTTATGATGATAGGTAGTTTTAACAGCTCTTTTGATGAATATTGTTTATGGTTAAAATAATTTTTTTCAAGAAATGTGAATGCTTTGCTTCTAGGATTTTGGGTATGATTTTTTATTATTGTTATTATTTTAATTATTTTTTCTTTATAGTTAGGTGTCTGTGTATGTGTGTGCATGTGTACATGTTGTCGGGGAATGAGTGAATGAATGATTTGATAATACCTTGAATATTTATTTATAATTGAAAGAAAATGGAATAATTACATACCACAGCATTGGATTAAAAAGGGTAATTGCTCATTCTATGTATTAACAGATGAGCTATTTTTTTGTGAAATCGTACCCCGGTTCTAATACCTGTTATTGGTTTCCAAGCGAAATATGATTTTAGAGAAATTTGATTTACCCCCTTACAATGTTGATTCTACTTATCATAGCTTTAGTGATTTTGGAGAATGGTTACCCCGGTAATGAAACCAGTGACTGTAACAAGTGAGAAAGATTTTGATGTAATTTTTAGGGGTAAAGATGGTTGTAAAGGGTCAGATCCTGGCATTCACATTGGAGGCGCTGGATATTCTTTTAAGCAGATTACCTTGTGAGATAGATGGATGGTGATGGTAGTGAATTTGCAAACTAATTTATCTTTTATTTATTATGTATGTTTTGCTGTACTTTAGCCATGAATTAAAGATTATATCTATTCTGAAAAATCAAAGGTAGGATTATTTTTCTAAAGTATTTATTAAAGGACATCCATGAAGCCTTGCAATGTACCTGTGTTCATCTAACACACATGTCAGTATTTTATATTTTATTTCAAGAGATTATAAGATGGTAGATTAAGATTTTTATTTTTGCAATAATTGTAAATGCATTAATATACTCAGCAGTGCAAGAATAGAAGGAGCATTTTCTGGAAATTTATCAGGTCCTTCACTTTTCATTGTAGACATAATGACTATATACCTCTTGGCAGACAGAAATGTGATAGAAGATTGGTACGTAACAGGAACAGTATATTTATAAACTATATGTTTATTCATTTTGTAGCACAAGCATATTACATTTAATAATAAGGAACTTCACCCATATGTTTACAAAGTTCATTCGCACAAGTTCTTTTGTTTGCAAAATTTTAATGGTTATGTCTCAAATTACAAATTCAATTGTGTTATTTTCTGATTATTCATGTTTTTATACCTGCAGTACTCATTTATAAATACAATGTTTTTTTTAATTTTTTTAATTTAATGTAATTTTAATGTGTCCATTCAGTTCATGCCAAGTGTATGATGATATTTATTTAGAAGACAGGAAATGGTCTCGGGAGTTATTTCTGCTAAAACATATTAAGGCTTTTACAAATTTAGTTTATTGTTGTGGTTTAAAGATGTACAGTTTAGGAAACAATGGTGACAGAACATTTTATTCAGTTTATTTATAATGCAGGGAGTATGTGCCTGGTACTTCTAAATGATCTTATTTTCACATTATATGATGTATGCTTCTTTTATAAATAGAAACATTATAAGCAAACTGCCTTTTTCTGTCTCCTTAGTTGAGAAAAATAAACATGCTAAACAATAGATTATTTTGAAAGGACTGTTGATGAAAAATTACAATTCTCAAATGGAAATACAAAAGGAAATTGCAGTTAGTATGGCAAGTCTTACAATCTCACATTTTCATCTTTTTATTTCTTTATCCATAGTCTGTTCACCTGACAGATTACTGTAGCCAAGAAAAGTTTGAAACAAGGTTGGTCATTGGGCATTGTAGTTCAGAGGACCACCATAAGGAATTTGATTCCTCTAATTTTTACAGATGTATTATGTATCTAAGATCATGAACCAAAAAGTCTGATCCAGTGTGAAAAGACGCTTGGCCTCCTTACTCAAAAAAGAAAGGAAAAAAATGACAAAAACAACTACTAGGAATAGTAGCAATAATAGTAATGTAGCAGTAATGGTAATGGTAGTAGTAATCACTGCATAATTAATTATCATGATAATCATTCAAAATAAAATGTGAATAATGATGATGGTGATGTAGTATTGATACCAATAGAAGTAATAATAATGATGATAGTAATACAGGTACTACTAGTACTACACAGAAAAAGCTAAAAAAACAAAAACAAGTGTGAACCTGATTTCCTTGCTGGAGATTTTAGAGATATGCTCACATTCTTAAAGAAATTTAGATACTGTTACCAGGACTTCTTAGAGTAAAAAGACAACCAATAGCAGTTCGTGCTTGCTACATATGTTAATACCATCCATTGGCTCTCACACAGATCTTTTTTTGCCACACTGCTTACCCCAGATCACCCACTTTGGGAATAAATGCTCTGTGTCTATCAAATTATTCTCATTCTCAATCTCTCTCTCTCTGTCTCTCTCTCTCTCTCTCTCTCTCTCTCTCTCTCTCTCTCTCTCTCTCTCTCTCTCTCTCTCTCTCTCTCTCTCTCTCTCCTCTCTCTCTCTCTCTCTCTCTCTCTCTCTCTTCCTCTCTCTATATCTATAATATATAATACATATATATTTAATGTGTGTGGATTTATCTCCTGCATTATTCTCAGATAATCACGATCAAATCATTCCAGAGAAATTCATAATACTGTCAAATAACAGTCACTCCCGATCAGTTCAATCATTCAATCACAATTATTCCCGAGCACTTCAATCGTTCAATCAAAATCATTCCGAGGCTGTTCAATCGTTTTTCCTGGGGTCCCCTCCTCCTTCGCCAGCGTCGTCCGAGATGGAACGGCGACAGAATGCTGCATTTCCCACATTTCCAAGGTAGTTCGAACAAGGTAGCCTCACTTCGTCTTGATGGAAATCCTAGTAGAGACAAGCTCCGAGCCAAGCACTGCCCCTTTTACTTTATTCTTTGCAAATATTAGATATTTTTATATTTTATTTGGTTTCGTTTTCGTTAATCTTTCCACCATTGTCATTACTGAACCATTTTAAAGAAAATGTGTTAAAAAATTATTTTAAAACACTGCATAGATTTACATGCACATGATGTATGTGTGGTGTGTATGTGTGTGTGTGTGTAAGTACTGTGTGTGTGTAAGTAAATGTGTATGTGGTGTAATATATGTATGTGGTGTGTGTGTATGTGTATATGTATGTGTAGTATGTGTGTGTAATGTGTAAAGTATATGTATGTATGTGTAAGTATATGTATGTATGTGTGTGTAAGTATATGTATGTATGTGTGTGTAAGTATATGTATGTATGTGTGTGTAAGTATATGTATGTATGTGTGTGTGTGTATGTATAAGTATATGTATGTATGTGTGTGCAAGTATATGTATGTATGTGTGTGCAAGTATATGTATGTATGTG